GTGATCAAGTATATTAAGAGTATATTCTATATTAAAATAAATTCATTCTATCATGTTTAGTATATCAATATTTTGATAACACAAAAAAAAAATTTATATACTTTAAAATAAGGCAATTGCAAAAATGCTACTTTTTGTGTACACATTTGCAAATGCCACTTATGAGTGTCCACTTACAAAAATACCATTAATTATAGATTTATAAACCCTATATCTTAAAATTCTAAACCCTAAAAAATGTTTGACACCTAAAACCCCCTAAACACTCAATACTAAATCTTAATATAACATAGTTAACTCACACATAAATTATATAATGAAAAGTGACATTTTTTAAAAATGACACTTGAAAAGTGGTATTTTTTGAAATTTCTCTTAAAATAATTCACATAAAATAGTTTGAACTTATGTTTTACTTTTGAATCTTTAATTTTATTTTATTGTAAAATCAAATTAACTCTGTAATTAAAAAAATAGTCCAATAAATACAATTTTTAAAACCTGAAGAAATATTTTAAGGGAAAGAAAACCTTATATGTGAACGTTTTGTAACGTATGGTATTAAATATCAATAATTGATACAACAATTTTGTAAGTTTAGGCCAAGCTTAACTCATCTTGACACACCATTGACAATTTTGTACTAGATTTTTTCTCTATGCAATTAATATTAGAAACTGCAATTTTTTAAAAAATGTTATGAACTTCATTTATTGATAGATAAAAAAATAGTTTTGAAAAAACTAAAAAAGTTTTTATGTCACATACGATCTTGATTTTATATAGAGTATTTTATGCAAATACTCATAAAGATATGAATAGAAAATAAATTTATATAAAAATCATTTTGTTAAAAATTGTAGAAGCTATATAAATTTAGATAATATAAGAATCAAATTCTGTAAACCAAATATGTGATCAATCAATTTCAAAAACATTTAAATTTCACAAATTTTTTACAAGTTTTTATTTATAAATTATTGCATATTTCACTTTATAAGTTTTATCTTCGCGGTCACGTGTGGACTCAACATTTTTTTTTCAATAGTGGACACAGACTATAACAAAAAGATTCCAAAAGAATATGTTGAATTCTAAAGCAAAATTGAAA